GCCAAGTGGTGCAACCGCCCCTGATAAGCGGTGGCACTGCCCAGAGGCTCAGTCTCCGAGCTCTGCCAGGCGGTGCAACCGCCAGACCCCTGGAATTCCGAGAGATGATAGTTTTGAGCTCGAAATTCAAACTAGTTTGGAGCCTATAAATACCCCTCCCATCCCTGGGTAAAAAACACAAGCACAGAGAGATTAAAAGAGAGAAAACGCTGCTGCAATCTCTAGAATTTCCCTCCTCTAGCTTAAGTATTAGAATTATGTTTAAGAGAGGAGAGTGAGTGCTTGTAAGAGTTGTCTCCTAAACCCGGTAAAAGGAGAAGAGGGGTGTAAGAAGGAGATTGATCTTTGCCTAGTAAAGGAAGATCGTTAGTGGATGCCGGTGGCCTCGACGGAAGAGGAATCAAAGGAGTGGATGTAGGTCACGATTGATCGAACCACTATAAACTCTCGTCTCCTCTGGTTTGCATTTACTTTGAGCATCTTATCTTTACGACAAACCTCCTCAGTAGCTTACTGCCTTCTGCTCATTTACAAATGTGTTTCTTAGTTAAGTATTTTTCGAATCGGCGTTAAGACGGAAATCGGTTTTATCGTACGAACATCATATTTCAGTTTACGCTTACATTTTGACTTCTATCTTAACTGCAAACTGCCTTCCTTACTTTACTTCAAATATGTTTCCGTAAGGTTTCAAAGTTATTATCCGCACGAAATAACTTTCCAATTACATATTATGTTGAGGTGTCAGAAGGTTGAAAGATTTAGATTGAAATCTTATAAAAGGGTATACTTAGGTTAGTAAAAACTCAAATGATTTAATTAATATATTATTTTTTTAAGAATACACATGAGGGTTTTTTTTTATAGTATGATAAATGATTATTAGGTAAAGGTCACAATAAATATTCAAGAAATTATTTCGATAAATTAATTAAATTAATAATAATCTTTGACATATCCTTTGCTTTAGTTATTAATATTGCTTTCATATATATATATATATATATGTATGTATGTGTGTATGTATGTATGTATGTGCGCGCGTGATGTGCCATCGATTCCTTGCTTGCCTTAATGAGACAACAGCAACACGTGAGTTAACAGCCGGTGCTTCGCGGAGTCACGTGCCTACCAAACCCAACCCTCGCGGCTTTCGAGTGCGCTCGCACATCAAGATCCCGAGAAAAGGAGGAGAAGAGGAAGAAGAGGTAGATCGAAAATCGACGCCATGTCGTGGCTAGCGAGGTCTTTCGCGAGCACGCTGATGGCCGATCGCCACGATGGCGAGACGGATGTGACGCAGAGGGCGGAGTCGGCGTCGTCGCCTAGTCCCCGTGAAGGAGAGGACGGCGACCCCAGCCGCGGCGTCAAGGAAGATCTCTCCGAGATCACCGAAGCCCTGTCCCGCCGATTCCGCGGCGTTGCCTCCTTCCTGGCCCCTCCCCCCTCCTCAGCCGCCTCCGGCGGCGACGCTGACCCGGTCGAGGACTCCGATGCCCTCGCATTCGCTGGATTCCGGAGCGACCTTGCCGAGATCGGCGGCAGATTCAGGTCCGGGATCTCCAGGCTCTCCAGCTCCAAGGCGGTATCGGAGTTCTCCAAGATCGCGTCCACGTTCCTCCCGTTGGGACCCGGGGAAGGGGAGGATTGGGAGCCAAAGGACGAAGAAGAATCGGAGAGCAAGTACCGCAGTAATGCTATTGGCGTCACGGAGGAGGTGATGGCCTTCGTTAGGAACATCTCCATGCATCCGGAGACCTGGTTGGATTTCCCCTTGTTGCCCGATGACGAAGAATCTGATGGTTTGTCTTCCTTTCTTGCTACCTCATTGACCTATTATAGATTTAACTGGTATTGTTTTCTATTCCCAATTTCTTTTGTACAATCTTTCAGTCATTTAGTAACCAGATATGATTGTTTACGCCATCTAATAGTTAAAATTTGTTGATGAATTTAATATTGGTGTCTGTAATGTTTCACAAAAACCTTATCCTGTGGGATCTACTAACAGAAAATACTAGGGGAACTTATTTGCATGGATGGAACCATGACGGTCTCACCTGTTGTTTTCCATCAGATCCAATAGAGTAAAATTTTAATTGCACTTTCAATTCTGTTGTGTCCATCCACAGAAATGCAGTTAGACATTTACGGTGAATGTTGTTCGTCGAGGCTGAAACCTTGGGTCTTGACGTGTTGTAGCAGAAATTAATATGAGGGACTCATAGTTTCTTCTTAAAATTCCCACTTCTCCTCTTTGACTTGATACAAATCGAATTAGGTCTAGATACTATTTCAACTAACTTTTTGCTTCATGAAGTAATAGGAAGTTACTACAGAACAGGATAACATTTTTTTTTCTTTTTTGTACATTTTGGTTTGATCTGCCTTTCACAATTGAGAATGAGAAAAGATTCTAGATTCTGCTAGGAATGTTTAATTCTTTATAATTTCACGTGATGAAGAGTATTCACCAGGAAAGTTGATGTGGAATGGCTCTTGAAAGGTAATATAGATTTCTGATGTGCACCTAGTTTAAAAACGGATACTATAATCATGATAGATAAAGTCTAAGATATTCTTTTGTCACTACCTAATTCTAATTTCTTGTCTGCATCAGCATTGTTCCCCGTGTATGCAAGCCTTCTTTCTGGGTACTTCCTGTCGACCAATACATAAACTGTTTATTTAACAACCTTGTTTTATCTAGTATTGCACTTAGATGTCTTCTAAAATATCTGACCCTTTTTTATTTCTTAAAATTATTAAATTGTGAGCTTTTTAAGAACCAATCTAGTCATATTCAACATATTAGATGCACTACTAAATAACTTCGGTCATTTCAGTTTAGAAATCTGTTGATTGTTACAGCTGAAGGGTTTTTATGCTAATTCAAGTTTTACTACATACCAAAAAAAGTCTTTTTCTATGTTGTAAGAATTGTAAATGAATTATTCTTAAGATCCCTTTCTTTGGATCACAGAGGAAATTTAACTATGTTCATTGTCTTTAGTTTTTAGGTCTATGAACCAGGGGGAAGGATATCCCAATTTCACTTGGTCATCCCTATCACTGATATGATATCGATAGATATGCCCATGGCCTTATTCCCTCAATATAATTAAGTTCTGGACTTCGGGCTACATCAAAAGATCTTGTCCATGCAGACAACATGTTCAAATGATTACATTTTGCTACCAAGTTCAATCTCTGAACCATTTTGGCAAGAATGTCTGTGCAATATAGCCAAATACCATGGCAATGTAGGTTAACTAATTCACCTACTCTAATTCCTCAAGCAAGGAAACTTTTGCATAGTGGCTTCATCTTTTTTAGTTATACACTTTATTTTATGGGATTCACAGGAAAGTTTAAAGCATTAGGAGTGTATATCATATTACTCTGAGACCAAACTAGATCCAAAATAGTACTGTTAGCTTAGATCAAGCACTATAATGTATAATCAAATCATATATGCATAATTTTATGTTTCACATGGTGATCAACAAAATCATAGTGGGCATCTTGAGAGTTTGTACTGCTTAGGAAGTAGCCTGCCTGACTGGAAGTAACATCGATAGGACCTTCTTTTAGCTCAGCTAGCTTAATGTGGTTTTTGAATAGCATGTTTACCTCTATATTACTTTGTTTCATGACCATTGCATATCTTCTTTACCACTTTTTTATAAGGCTCTATGTACTTTGAGAACTTTAAGAGGCATAAAATTGCATCTTTTACTCTTTTTCTTCAGGAAGTGATCAATGGAGAGGTGGTACAGTACTTCCTCATAGACTTGACAATCACTTATAGTGCTTGCCATTTAATTTATAACTTTTTTATGCCTTTACAGAATTCTGAAAAGTTGTAATCTATTGAATTTATATTTTCCTTTGAAGTTGTTGCTTATTGAAGTTCTGAATTTCTAATATGATTTTTGAGTTGGTTCATATTTATGTTCTTTCTGGGCTTGTTTCTTCGAGAATGGGCAGTCATCACTTATGGACAACTTTCTTCTAGCTTGTTTGGCTTTTTATATTTATCTCATTTCCCAGATTTTGACATGTCTGATGCCCAACAAGAACATGCATTGGCTGTCGAAAGACTTGCACCAAGATTAGCTGCTTTGAGGATTGAACTTTGCCCAAGTCATATGAGTGAGGGCTGCTTTTGGAAAATTTATTTTGTCCTTTTGCACCCTAGACTCAGTAAGCATGATGCCGAACTGCTCTCAACACCTCAGGTCTGTTATCTTGCTCAAAGCTGTTCTCTTTGACTGTTTTACTTAATAACTCGCCATCAGTATGCTTTTTGGTATATAGAACTTCAAAGGAAATGCCCTGGTAAAATGACTTCTTCTGATGTAAGTTTGGCTCAGATTCTAGGTTTAGATGCCTAAACATGATTGCTGAAAAATGAAAATTTTGGTGAGCTAGCATTTAGGCCTTCCATGAATTTCTCTGAAGTCTTCGAATTGCAGAAACAAATATGTACTCACCTAGTGTTGGTTGTAACATTTGCTGCCAATCTTCAATTTCTAGTTTCATTCTTGAAATGATTTGCATTCAGAGATCATAATCATGGTAAAATAGATTGTGATTTAACATTAATGATTAATTATAAACTATTACGATCAGTGGACTGGGTGAAATAGTCAAAGCAAGGTACATCATGCATCATTGGTCTGCACAAAGTCCTTCTTTGTCTGACATATATACCTCACCTTTTATAGCTCGCATGGATCCACCAGGATTTCTGTTAGTGCCTTGTCTTGACAGCTGATGCTAACACAACTCTATGCTTTGTAACAACATTGAAATACTTGGAGCAACCGGGCAATCAAGTAGCATGTGGACCTTCATATGAAGATGCTATCAACATTCTTATGCTAGAAAAAAATAAAAAGACTTGGATAAGTTACGGCATTAGCCCCACTTATCATCTTGGGATCTACTTACCCAGTTTTGAGTACAAGTGACAAAGAGATGTAATGATAGGATCATTGGGCTGTTGAGATGTGAGAATTGGAGCCCTTCTATTATCTATTTATTGTAGAGTATTCTAACCAAGGTTCGCAATACCGTACTGTACCGGTATTTTGACCTGGGCTCGGTACCGGTATGGTACGGTATACCGAGCGGTACACCCAGGTGTACCGAGTACTGTAGCAATGCTACACTGCTACAGTACACTACTACAGTACTCCCTTAGACCATATGTCTTTTGCAATTTATGAATTTAAGTCTTAAGTTTTTGTTTACAAAGGTACGCTTTGTGGAGTTTTGGATTTTTACCAAAAGAGACAAGGAAGCATAGACATTATATATATGTATATATGTATATACGTATATACATATACGTATATACACATTAAATTAATACAAATGGTACATAGGTCCTAAAAATGATTGTACTACCTGGCATGTGTTAAGATGTATCCAGTAACTGTTGGTGTCCAACATGGAAACAGCATGGATGCGACGAGTATTTTGAATTATCTTAGGAAATATTTTAAATCAAGATTAAGCTTAGGTAATGTTAGTACAGTTTGAATAATTATTGTTTCAATGGTGCAATTGATAAGATTTGGTTTATACATGTGGTTCACAGGATTCTTTCCCCCTGAATGAATTTGTAAAAGTCTACAATTTACCGACATACTTAACTTCAAAAGTTGGAGTAACATGTTTGCATCCACTTCCAGACTTTGCCATCAAAGCTGTTGAAAATTGTTAGGTCTAAGTGATCCATTCTATCTTTGTGCAGGTCGCGGAAGCCAGAGCATTGCTGTTCCAGAAGTTGCAGAATCAAGATATTGCAGAAGCAGAGTGGCCTGAAGTTGATGTTTCCAACAGGAAAATAGATGACACCTCAGTTCAATCCGAAGTGAAGGTCACAGAACTAAAGGATTTATATGAAACTTCACCATCCCAAGCAAAGGAAGTTATTTCTGTGCCAATCACCGACCCCGTGACAGAAAAACACCCAATCCAAACAACTGAGGTAGAAGTCATTGATAAGTCTGTCATCGAAGAAGAGCCACCAAGACAGCTGCAGAAGGATCACAGTGATGCATCAAAGGTCTCCATTGAGAGGTTCGACGAGGATGGGGATGATTGGTTGGAAGATGAAACAGAAGAAATGGGCATCTCAGGAAGCACCAGCATTCCTATAGGCAATGACGAGGACGTCTCGTTTAGTGATCTAGAGGAAGAGGATGATAGAAGTGCACCAAAGGCCCTCAAAAAATGAGGGTTCAGGACTAAGATGATTTGGCAGTCTGGTACTATGTGGATGTACTTGTTCTCTGTCCCTTGATGAGAATTTTATGGTGTATGTTGGACTGCAATTTATCTGTTGGCATTTTGCGATTGTAGTGTAGATATATATATATAACCCACTGGTTCTTTCCCCTTGTAAAGTGTCAAATGTGCCATTCTGAAAACTACTGCTGCTGTCATGATGTAATGTCAAACGGTATTAGGTTTGTCCTAATCAAGGGGTTCAATTTCATGATATGATATGAAGACATGTTGTAATATCCTTATTTTATCTACTCATCGAACTATTTCTTTGCTGATCTTAATGTGTATATGATATCGAGAGTCAATAATCAGAAATGAAAATTGCAAACAGTCACTTGGCAATATGAGGGATGAGCAAGAACAAGTCACAACATGGGCCTTAAGTCCCATATATGCTAAGGCAGCTTTGGGCTCAATAGCCTCCCTCCGGTCAATCTATGGCTCCGGCCCACTTCATTCCACCCTTTTATTCGTGCCCGCGAAAGCATGCCCTCCCTCCTAAGCTTTCCGCGTTCCCCACCGCTCTCTCTCTCTCCTTGCCGCCGACGCCCATGGTGAAGATCTCAGTCGACATCCGCTTTCGCTCCTCCACGCCGGAGATCCGGCAAGAGAGCGGCACTGGAGGGTCCAGGACAACCGTATCTCGGGAGCCCGGTCCCCTGCGTCGTCTTTGCCTACCGTAAAACCCTCTCGTCTGCCGTCGTTGCTACCTTTTTGATGCCTCTTACCCTATATTTGCTGCTTCTTGTTTTCCTCAGATTACGTCTTCGACCTGAGCTACGGTAACTCGGTGGTCTACGATCTGCTCATCAAGTCAGCATCCAAGCCGCCGTTGACCTCCTATTGATCGAGAATATGATCATGTCAAACAGGTAAACATCAGTTTCAATAGACCAAAAAGCATTGTTACGTGTTCTTATATTTTGGTATTGTGTAATATCTAAAAAAAAATCTTTAGATGTATCTCCGTATTGTAAATGATGAGTTGTTTAATCATCAAGCTGCGGCAAATAAGTTAGTATTCTTGATGGGCCAATGCCCAATTGAACTGGTGCTTCTTCCTCCCCTCTTCTGCGAGCCCAACATGACGGAACCCATGGAGGCCGCCCCTTCAGCCAACCTTCGATCTCAATCGGCGGTGATGATGTCCACCTCGGTGGCGTCACCCGGTTCGAGAACTCCCCGGGCTTCCTCAAATTTCGTGACTCGGGCTCAGCGCCAATTCCGAACCCTATTCCTCTTCCTAATTCGGTGATTCTGAGCAAAGCATTCGCGTTTCTGTCATGTGGGTCGTTGGAGGTTCAGCCGTGGGTTGCCTATTCTTGATTTCGGGTGGTTGCGGACGGCCTGCCCTTTTCCCGCAGGTTTAGCAAGTCGTTTTCTCAGTTGTCTGAGGGTCCATGAAATGATGTTTTGGCAGGTTTATTTTGAGCGCCTACTTTCTTGTAGGTAATGAGGACGATGGAAGAGAAGCCGATGGTTCCTCCAACGCGGGATTCAGTTCTTGGGCGTTTGGCAGTCCTGTAAGTATCGTTTCCTATCTGAAAGCTCTTTAAATGATTTAATAGCGAGTAGCTCATGGAGTGGTTTGTGTTGTTCTTCATAGATTAGATGCAATCTCTGGACAAACCATATTTCTGAAGAATTTGAGGAGAGGGATCTCTGAATGAATTTGTTAATCTTTAGAGATTTAGGAACATTTTTCATGAGATTGACTTGAGCAGTCGTCTTCCTATAAATGAAGTCTGTTAGATAGTTCATGTGCTAAATGAGATTGTCGGCCGTTAAAAGATTGGAAAACCGGCTTCAAACTTGCACAAGTCGTCTATATGTAATGTAGTAGCAATATATGTTGACTCCAATGTCTTGTAACTCAGCATAAGTTGCACTGAGTATGTTCTGTGTTTATTTCAAGTCTACTAGGCTCAATACAGCATAAGATAGCAATCGGTTTGGACTTTGGTCTGCAGTGACCACTAAGAAGAATAATGGTTAGCTTATTTTCTATAGGGGACTTCTATACTCTTCAGATTCTTCAACAGAATCATGTTAAAATCAATTGCAATAAAGAGTTACTATGTTGATTGACCGATGACCATGCCAGTGCTTTGCATTAAAGTGCCAGGTTTCTCTGTTCTTTAATCTGTTTGATATCAGTTTATTTCTTCCTTTAAGAAAGTGAACGCCAAAGCTACAAGAATTTTGGAGGTTGCTTCATCTATGAGTTTAGACTATAACCATTAAAGTAAATATTTTTGCATGCAATCTAGCTATTAGATTTAGTGCAGGCCCATCTCTTTCTTAGGTCCTAGGTTTACTTTTATTTGGATGCAACATCAACTTTAGAGTATTGGCATCGAGTTGATAGCTCATTATAGAGGTTATATGTAGTCTTCTGTGGAGTCATTTTGATCTTGTGATGCACTTCATAGCTAATTCTTTGTTGGCAGCAATGGAAATGACAATGATATGTCAATAACATAAAATTGTTGTAATAGTAAGATAATATGAAGCTAATAATCCAAATTCCTGTCAAATTCATCTCTGAGTTTCTGAGAATTATTCCAAAAGAAATCATAATAGGATGATTTTATTTCTTGTTCTCTTTCAATTTTTTTCAGTAACTTTTTTCTAGTGTTCCCTTTGTAAATGGTCTCTGGAGAGTACTTATATACCGTCTTCCTGATGTGTTATCCAGGATTGCAATATCAGGTCATTATTGTGCCATCTAAATTCATGTTGACAGCCATCAGAAATACTCGCTGATTGCCTGGAGCTTTTTTAATTTCAATTGCCTTCTGAGTAAACGGAACAAGCAGAACGATGTCTACAAGTGTGGAGAGCCTACTTGGAACATTTTGAGGTAATTATTCTATTTTTGTTATTTTGTTCAATAAGCTGCTTTAGAAAAAAAAAGTATTGATAATATTTTAGCTTAAATTAATATTTTACTGCTCATAAGTGCAATTGAGTTTCATTGTTATGTATATGTTTTACCATATTGTTATCAACACCCAAGCTTGATTGAAGTCTCCAACCGGTCACAAAAGATGAAATTTGATGAAGAATGATTGAAATATGTTGCGTGATCTTTTCAAATATAATACAGTTCAAAAGATGAATTGGGTTGGAAACTTGCGCATGCATAGTTTTCTTTAGGATGTTTCTTTATTCTAGTCAACTGAGAACATTAATTCTTGCGAATTAAAATAGTTATGAGAGGCTTGAAAATGGTGTACTAATGTGTATTTCAACAGATAGGACAGGTTCATAGATGATGATATTCTTGGGTGGGTATGTGTGGCAAGTGGTCGTGGCCGATCCAGCTTATTATTTTCTTTTATAAAATAAACGAATAAGTTAAGTTAAGAAATAATTTTACTCAACTCGTCATATGCTTTGACTTGATACTCTTGTGAATAGAACAAGAAGGTTTAGTGTCGCCCGCAGCCCCAACCAATATGGTTCTGTAGCTTAGTGCCACATTGTTGGTTTTTCAGTAGATTTCTCATGTAATTGTAACTTAAGGAAGAGGTGGCCTCTGCAATGCTTTATTTGTTGAATCTCTCTCTCTCTCTCTCTCTCTCTCTCTCTTTCTCTCTTTGTCTTTCTCTATGGAACAACTTGATTTATCTAAATCATCAGAACTGTCGATCACATCTAGGATTCTTACCCCCTTTTTTTTTTTGTGATAAACTTCGTAGGTGTCCTTGTTTGGAGAGAGCAGGGCACATGACTTTCCAAAATCTGACTTCTCCTATTTGCTAGGATAAGTTAGTTATCCAGCCAACTTCATTGAGAACTTCACAGCTAAATCACATCACTCTTTGCAATGATAGTCAACTGTACAATCTGAGGGGGGGGAGCTCATCAAAGTAGATCCTTGAAGAAGGATCTGCCTGCAGTTGGATGCCCATCGGCGTTGTTGGTGTTGCAGCATCATGTCAGCTGTCAGTTCACGGTGGACGACGAGAAGCTGCAGGTAGGTAGTAGGGAGTCTCTGGACTCTTGTCTCTCCTGCCGCTGCCGAGATTGCATGAAAGACCTCGCACCAAAGTTAAAGCCTAGCCTTCGTGTAGGTCGCCATGGGATTCTCTCCACACCGAGCCTGGGCTCTGCTTGGGAGGACTCTGCCTGATGGTAGCTGTCATTCTGTCAATCTAGCTCCAGTGTGACCCTTCAAGAACGTCCATAGTGGTTTGGTTTTGGTGCATCGTCGTTACAGTCCACGCCTTGATCTCCTCTGATAGGTGCAACATCATCGCCATCCTGAGTCTTGTATAAGATGATACTTGATGGCCAAGACCTTGGTTGCAATGATTGCATGTAACGGAGTCCATCTGTGGACTGTTATGTGTATATAATTTTTATATTACTCTTTTTTTTTTTACTCAATTGATTGTACATTCTTGTGTGTTTAGATTCAAAAGTTTATATGAGTAAAATATTTGTGTATCCATTATTACATTACAAACTGGGAAATACAAAGAGAATGTTTAAATCTCGTTGTTATTCTCTGATCATTAATTAATGCTCTGATTGGCTAATCTCTCTATGTGATTTTGTTTCCATCTGTGTTTTAGTAACTCTTTTTTTCATCTAGTCGTGTTATTTATATACCCTAAAGCATCATCTGCTTTCTATCTTAGCTTCATTTTGTTCCAAATCGATGTGTGCTCGCTCGTTTGGTTGCTGTCTCAGTTCCATCAGATCATGCCATGACATCATATCCTTAGCTGCTACTTGTTTGGGTTACATCCCTTCCTAGGCTAGGCGGCAGTGGCCTCTGGGGAGAGATCTTCCAGGACCCCACGATGCACCCGGAAGTGACGCAGGGTCATTTCCGCCCTAACTGAGGCTTTCGTCTCATGCACACAAAAGGTTGGTCTGCATGTCTTCATGCATCACTCCATCATCTTAGTCATTTCTGCTGCTTCACTATGCACCTTAAATGTTATGCGTGTTTGAGAGAGAGCGAGAGAGAGAGAGAGGCCTGTCTGCCATTAAAAAGATGAGTCTTTACGTAGAAGAACATATACTGATATACAAAAGGAAGCTTACTGTTAGATGTTGTCAAGTGGGATTCTGGATCCAAATTTCGATCAAATGGAGGCCGAGAACCAAGAAGGCTTGATTGAAGGAGCAAGGCCCACGAGCGAGAGAGAGAGAGAGAGAGAGAGAGATAGATAGATAGATAGATCCGAAGGCATTGCAGTATTTAGTGTGAGTCGCCAAGGTGGCAGAACCAAGGTCCCACACTAGATCACAACTTAGATTCACCGAATGTCCTGACCACCAGCATTTCTTCAGTCAGATGGCGGACTTGAAGGCCTAGATATCTGCATACAAGAAAAACGAAAAAGAGAATATGGTAAAGCAAACCTCTTTGCAGCTTTACCTGCAGTGAGGCCCTAAAGACAACAATTTGGGCATTGAAGGCTCTGTCCTCAATCCAGGCTTCTTTAATCACAAAAGAACAGATGGAAATGTGGAGGCACGCTCACACCCATTTGAACTTTGAGAAGGACCCCAACGAGCGAGAGGACTGATGCAAGGACCACTAGCAGCAGCCCTGACACTGTAGATATAGCCCTTGTGGCCATTGTTCAGTTTGGGTGTTTGTCTTAATGTCTTCCCACCCTCCTGTGCTTGGCTTGGCTTTATTACCTCTCCCCACTGTTGGTGGGGAGACCCATGCAGGACTCCTTGAGGCCCCCCATGTCTGTCTCCTCTTTCCCATCACACATCGATAATGAGGGCAGGTGCCTAAACAGGGGACCAAGCACCTAAAGATGATGACTTGACCATTATATCTTTACTTCTATGAGCATATGGGATGGAAGCAACCACAGAAGTGCATCTAAGGTGATGAGGACATTGACATTTCAGTGCATAATCTCACATGTTTTTAGAGAGAGAGAGAGAGTGAGAGAGAGAGAGAGAGAACTTGAAACTTGGGTCCGGGCAGGAAGATGGCATGATGCAGAGAGTCAGTATGAGGCTATAGTGAGAACTTTAATTGGGATTTGGAGTTTACTGGAAAGTGGAATGTCATGTGAGCTTGCGTCTCTCTCTCATTGACTTGTCTTACGCACCGGGCTGTTGTCACCTCCATTCGGTTGCTATTCAAATAGGCCTCCTTGCTCTGTACCTTTAGGCTAACTGCTATTCTTGTAGGGGATCTTGCTTGGATTTTGTTTAGATTTCTTGTTTCCTTTGTGAAAGATAAGCACCACAATAAATAGCATTGTTATTGTGCAGTGGCAGCAGCTTGCACAAAACCAGCTTTAGCTTCTCCTAATGTTTCTTTTCTTAGTTTGCGCAATAAGAGCACAATAAGTGGAGTGAAAGAGTCCTGTGATACACTATTGTGTTCAGTACTTAACATAAGAGATTGCTAGGCGGCTCTTCTTTTTTCATTAGCAACGCTAATTCAAGCCTTTTCATTTAAAAGAGCACATTGATGTTATGCTGAAGGCCGGAATATCCCTAATAAAACAAATCTTGAAGATAAGTTTTACTTCATTATGTAGCAGTATGGTCTCAAACATTATTGGTTGCTCGTTTTTATTCAACTAAGATAAAGTTGGAGAGCATGAGCAGGTGCCTTATGAATTGTCAAAGTCATTAGTTTGGACTGTAGTATCTTGGTACTAAATTCCACTTTATCATTTCACGGTAAGGGGGGACAGATGGGTTCGTCCTTTTTGGCTGATGGTTGGAGCTCCCACATAGCTTCTCCTTTATTATTATTATTATTATTTTTGGGTTTTATACCTCACCACCACTGACCTTTGTCTCTTGAGCTTTTTAACTGGCCTAGTTCATTGGTGTTCCTTTCCTCTGAAACCACTGTATCAAGTGAGGCTGTTGCTTTCCTCGAGGGTGGTGATGTACCACATCTCCTCAGACCTTAAATGTCCAGGCCTAAGCGTTCCATCCAAAGAAGGAAATGGCCGAGCCTGTGCTTTGTATCCTCCCTCGGGCATGACACAGAATGAGAGACAATCTCTTCTGCTCTGTGAAAGCTAAATGTTGCTATAGAATGATTAAGTTTGCGCATGCTCAGGGACAGTGCAAAAGGAGGAGGGGAGACCACACCTATCAACTTTGGCAAAGTAGCACACACATAGAGTTGTTGGGGTAAATGACTTTTTGGTAAGTTGAATGAAAAGCTTTACAGACATACATGAAGATAGTAAGATTATGTTAACAGAGAAGCATGGAGCCAGAAAATGATACACTTACTGGACACAGGTAGAAGATGGATTTAGTCAATCTCAGTAGTGTGTCTGGGGCCAGAAGATGTCGATAGTAATAAACAGGGAAATGTGTCAACCAGTTACTTCTCCATCCTGTTTGCCCTTCCATCATCTGCTTTACCTGTAGATAAGACAGGAGATAAGTATGCTAACCTTTACACTGACAGTCTTTTATATCTTTCATCTGCAAACCTTCTGCGCAATGGCATCACCAATGCCAATGCCACTATGTTGTCCTCACTCCTCAGTCCTCTGTGCCTGCTCACGTGTAAGGAACAAGAACCACACGTGTGGATGCATGTGCCAACAGAGATTATTTATACACTCGCCTTGCCATTTACCCGAGGGCCCCTGTGAAAAGGGGCATCACAGACGGATCTCAATTAAAACCCTAGCTTTCTTGAACTTTCCAAGCCTGACAAGATTAAATAGCTGGTTAGCCGAGACAAGGGGCTCCCTCTTCCCTGGTCGTCCCATGCTATTATCCTCATAATAATCCCACCTTTGCCGGGCATGGCAGCTTCCAAAGCATTCTGTACTGGGGGAGCATATGTTTCACAGTTCAAATTAATGGTGTGCTTGAGCTTGTCTTGATTTACGTGTAAATATCATGTGGTTGACTTTTCGAAAGGAACCAACGCCGGATGGCTTTACCAGTAGCAGAGTGGAAGTCATCAAGCTCTAAACGCCAGCTGCAGGGGACAACTGTGCCTGTTCCTCAGCACCCATTTGCTTGGCTGTTTATCTAGGTGGAAGTCTTTACTGATAATAACCTTGAGGAATATTTAGAGAGATTATACATCTTTTAGAATGCTTGCATTTGTTATATAGCAGGAACTTTGAATCCTGCTAAAACACATTCTCATCCTGAAACCCCGGAAGAATTACTGATTACCAAGAAGAAACAAGAGTTTAAACTCGAGGCATATTTAGTCTGTCCAAGTTGCAAGAGGTCTAGTATTCTTCATTTGGAATGGATTATTCAGATATGTAGCAGGGCCAGATCTCTCTCGGGCTTAAATGGTATGAACAGTGCATTAATCATCCTGCTAAACTTGTTTACAACTAGTCTAACGAGCCCATTCCTCTGTGTTGGAAACTGTAGCTGTTGATGTTCGAGCGTATCAAGCTTTCCACCGAGCCAGGAAAGAAGGATCCCCGAGTACCGCAGTTACTCTTAACCAGTAAATGATTGTCTCAAGAGATTAGCCTTATAATACATGCAAAATTTTCCACACTGTGAACGAAAGGTTTATGGCTAGTGATCGAATTATGCTCCTCTTTGTTCTTTATGGAACTAAGAAGACCAAAACCTCATAGGTTAGCAGTGGCAGTCATGGCTGCTGACTCTCTCTCTCTCTCTGTTGTCTTTTCCTTTTTCCAACACTATGGTATTTTCAGATTTGATTTCTGAAAGCAAAGGCCTTATTTTCTGCAAGTTTCAGAAACAAAGGAGTCTTTCATACAAGCACATTACTGAAACAACATCACTGCTACGGATCACAGCCTCCTGCTTTGTGATCATGTCTGTTGTCCTCCAACATTGAGGTATGTCATCTAGCACACATTACTTCTATTTCAGACTAGTTATGGACTCACAGTTTGCCTTGTTTTCATGTGGTATGTGTAGTTTGACTTGCATCCTCGGAAAGGGAGAGGAACTTGGACCGAAGGAAGCACGAGCGAAGAAGGACGACACCAATTAACCTCCACCATTTATCCCCTGCTAAAGGGGTTCGAAGGAGGCATGGAATGATGGGGACATTGCTCCAAGTTAGGAGGCATCATATTGGTGAATGCACTCATCATTGCAGTAATCAGAAAAGCGATGGGGAGAAGGATGACGGCCATTGATTTCTGTACGTTGAAACTCCCTTCCCCTCATTCCTCTTACCATTCTATCTTCATCCCATCTACTTTTTTTCTGATCCCAAATCATTCTCACTAGAAAATCTGTCTCCATGAACACCATGCACATCTGCATGCATAACAAAAAAGCCTTGATAGAAGCCACGGAATCTCCATAGCCTGCATAATAACATCACCATCCAACATATAGCCTAGGGCCCAAGAAATCAATCAGGAAACAAAGGAGATGAGAACAATGCTCATTGCTTCCTTTTAAGAATTGTATTAGAAGCTCGATGGGACCTGGCAACTTGCATCCAAAAGTCCCAGGTGTAAATGTCTACCTAGTGCTGAAACCAGCTAAGGAGGAGGCATCATTAGGATGAACTTGTTGAATAATGTCATGTTACCACTCCTATGCAAGTAATTTAGTTCTGATAAGGATTGATGGAGATGACAGTATGATTTGCTTGATGTAATCCTGGACCAAACTTATCTTAAGATACTGTATTCTATAGAGATCTAAGTACATTGATGCTCTCCTATCCCAGAGAAGCTTTTCTTTCGTGCTTTTAGGCACTTCTCTCATCATTCCCGGAATACATCAAGCTTATCATGAAGACCCACATCTCACTTTACTTGGAAGCAGCTGTTGACTACAGGTACTACCTAAAGATACGTATGAGAAGTTACATTTGAATTCACTATACGTCAAAGTTGTATCTTTAGTATAAACTCTCTCTCTCTTCTCTCTCTCTCTCTTCTAATCTTTTTGTGACATTGAAGGAGGAAGGGAGAAGGAGCATGACAGGAGATTTGATCAGTAGCCTTGGATTGCACTGCAGACTGATGCAGAGATAGTACTGCTGTTCCGGAGTGACTGGTTGGACAGTTGTCCTCCCTTTCAATCTTTCTCGTAGACACGAGACTGTGCAAGTAGCAACCTTGTTTTGGCTACCATAGCAAATATCCTCCTCCTTGATTCCTACCACAAGGCAAGGAGATGGAAAGGGCCTCTTCTCCAGTGACAGCACCGCCATTAATTCTATTGCTTTCAAGGTTTCTACCCTGGCCAACTCTGCGAGTATGATGCTACCTTATCTCTGTGTCTCTTAACCAAGGTTTTAGCAGGGTTTAAGGATCAATAAGAAAAGCAGAGGGAGGTGGGGGAGGAAACAAAAGCCACAAGCATGGTCCTTCTCTGTACACAGATCCCTATGGCGTGCTGTGAGGTTGTATTGATCCAGTTTTTTGCTTAGTGGAGCTCCTTCCTTTTTCTAGTTTAAAGAGACTTGTAGTCTT